TTTTTTCACAAGACATTTCACGTGACATTCGTCGTTTTCGCGAAAATTAAATTTAAAAATATATCGAATACACGTTTACCAAATTCTTTTGAAAATAAAACTAGAAAAATTTTATTCCTCATTTTTCATTTATTTTTGTAGCTAGAATAATCTGCCCAGTATTCATTCCTGTCTATCCAGAATTAGCTAAATTTAAATATTCAATAACTTAGTGAAAAAGATCATATAGCAAGTTTTATAGCTGTTATTGAGAGACAAATTTTGGTTTTCAAATCTATTTAGTTATTTATTATTAAAAAACATTTTCAGCGTTTTTACAGCCAATTTTTATAATTTTCGAGAAAAAAATATCACTATTTTTTTTTATTTCCTATATGATGTAAAAACATTTTTGAAAATGCAAAAATAGAAGCTTCAAACTTCAAAAATTAAAATAAGATAAGATTGAAATATTGAATCTCAGTCTTTGTATTTAAGTGGAACACAATTCATCCAAAATAATCAATCAATCATTAATTAATTATGCTATACACTATATCATACAATAACCCAATTAGACATATGAAAATCAACTGATGAATGCACATTTAAGAAAAAAAGAAAATATTTAAAGAAAAATATGATAAAAACAAAAATAGAGAAAAATACAATTCATTGACTAAAGAATGATATATTCACTTAACGTAATTATCATTGAGAGTACAAATATCATAATGCGTTACGTAACAACTTGTTACCATAACAAGTATCTTTAAAGATTTCATCTTCATACAGACATTGATATAATATTTCTTTTAAGATTTGAAAAGAGACGGAAATTAAGCTACTAATCAGATGAATACGACAGATGTTGGCAAATGTAACAATTCTATTGATTCTGTTTATTTTTTAATTCGACATACACAACTTCTCAGTTTCTTTAATGTTTCAATGTACAGTTACAGTAAAATTTGCAACTTTTCTGATTTCCAAATAATTAGTTAAACTTGATGACCGACCAAACTATTCTTTGTTTTAATCGCATTTACATTATATACGTACATATGTTCATCCTAAAACGTATTGATCATAAACGAGTAAATAAACTTTGGCACATTTACGATGTATCCATGAATAATAAATGCAGCTCAATATATATTCTTTCGCTTTCGGTCTATAGGCTAATATGGATTACTTAAGAAAATTAATAAAATTAATATCATTTCTTAAGTACTTGCAACATTCAAGTATCATCAAAACTACATTTCACTAAATTATATTCCAAATTTGTATTAATTATTGTAATTCTAGAACTTGGT